AGATGCCACCAATAGATGAATTAAAGTTTGAGAAAATAACTAAATATGCATTTGAATAGGAAGAGAATAAAATAAAAATAATTATCAATATGGATGGTATAGGAGAATTACCATAAAAGAATATTTAAGTGGAATTTGGAAAGAATTGTTTTGATGTTCGAGTCATAGGCTATAATAATGCCAATCATAGGTTTATATATAAATATAATTATTTATAAAGGTTACAAATTAATAAAACATTTGGTGGATTTCTTGATAAAATGAGCAGTTATAAAGTTACCAAGAATAATATTCATATAACATTAATCATACCTGATCAAACATAATGGACATAGATTAAAACAACAGAAAATATTGTAAAATTTATATATTAATATTAGATTGATTAAAAGAAAGAATAGAAAGAAAAAAAGAAATATGAAAAAGATGGACAACCTCTAGATGAAAATGTTAAAGGAGTTTTAGGTATGTTGAAGGGATTCTATGAAAGTGATGATCCTGAAATGAGAGAAACAGTCAGAGAATTCATGAGATAGACTGCCAATAAGTAAATGTGGAAAAATTGATTTAATATATAAATAATAATAAACAATAAATAAATAAATCAATAAATATATCTATATATGACAACTGATTTAGACAATAATCTTTATAAGGAAGATGTTGACTTTTAATATGATCAGTTAATCCAAGTTAATCAAAGAGACAAACTTCCTTTTCTTAAATAAGATGATTTTATAGGTATTAATTAAGGAGATCATTAGATTATAAAATTAGAGATACAACTCTTTTTAAATATATATTTATTTTTTTTAATTTAAATTAATAAAATAAAAAGTAATCTATAATTTAGAGTATCTTACATGCACCAACTATTAAGAAGGGTTATTTACGAGTTGGAGAAGATATGCCAGATTTAATAGATTAGCATTCTATAAACATTTTCATGAGAATCGTTATAGCAGAAAAAGTAAATAAATATTATTAATTTAGCAAAAGTACTAATTTTTAAATTAAAAGAAATAAAAAACAAAAAAATAGCTTTTATAATTTAAATAATGAGACAATATATACTATAACTTTATACTTTAGATATCTGTGGTAATCGTATACTACCAAAATATAAATATTGGAATGAAAATTCCATTTAATCGATCTTTTATTGTAGATTGTTAAATATTCAATCAAAAAATGTTTATTTGAAAATTTAATTGGTAATTATAAATGTGGAGTATGTTATAAAAAAGTGATAGACATGAATTAACAATGAATTTACGAGAAGGTGCATCAAAGGCTTAATCAAGTACATAGCATTTATGGCAATTTTAAGATTTATTAAAAGTTGTCTTAAGTCAGAGAACTCATATACATATAATATCATCTGTTTCTTTACATATAATAAGAATTATCAATTTTTTATGTATTCTAAATTATCACTTTAAATATATGAATAAAATCATTAATAGAGTTGCTACAAAATTAATATAAGATACTAATAATAAGTTTCCAATTTATTTAGAAATGAATTTAGTAGAAATGAAATAATAAGAATAAAAAAGAAGAGAATCCCTAAATTTTATGGTATAATTCAAGAGTTTAAAAAGGCAAATTGTTACATTTTTTACTAATAGTAATATGAAGAATTATTGAAGGATAAATAAAAGAATAAATACAATATATATGATGCTTTAAATGTAATTAAAATATCGAAAGTTAATTTAAGATAGCTATTTAGTACATATAATAATGGAAAGAATCTAGTTACTTAAAATCAGTTATTTGAAATGTTGGAATCTTTTAATATGTAACCTTCAGTAAGGTACAATTTTGTTTGTGCTTTTCCTAATGGTATTTCATTTCAGGATTTCAGTAAATTAATAGAAAGTCCTATCACTTATGATCAATTGTTACATAGTAAATTAAAACAAAAGTATATATATAACTCTAACCTATAAAGAATTTGTTTAAGCAATGTAAGGAGAAAGATAAATTGAGTAAGCATTTTGTAGCATAGCAAAGGCAAAAGCTCGTAAATTTCCAGAAACTATGACATTAGATTAATTGAAATAGTTTTTAACAAAGAAGTAAATACAGAATAAAAAAATGTTGTTAAATCAACAGAAATCGAATTTTTGTTAAGAAGATTTAAAACATAAGCAATAGTAAAGACTTTAGATCATACTAAAAAAGCAGAAGTCAATGAATTATGAAGGAAAGGTATTAAAAATTTGTAGAGATTTTGCATGTTTTGTGTTAATAGAACATAATTAATAAAAAGCTAAAGTTTTCTTTAAAAATGTATGGAATTATTTTAAGATATGCTTTGTAGATTAAATACATAGTAAGTTGTGCAAAAGAATTTTTATAAGAGAATTCATCCATATGATGTTAAGTCTTAGATTTAATCCTTTAAAAACTTAAACTTAACTATAAGAAAATTAAATTTATATTTGAATAACTTGTAGGTTATTTAAATGAGTGATTTAGTATTTTTAATGTTAATGAGTGAACAAGAAGGACCAAGAACTTAATTAAGTTAATCAAATCAATTGAAAAAGGCAAGTAAAAGATTGTAAGAACCTGTTAATTCATAATCTCCAATTAAATTAGAATATGAAGTTAAATTAGAATTAAGGCCGTACTCTTCCAATAAATTAATTTAATGGCTTTAAATTTGTTGAAATGTTTAACAGTAATAATAGATTCTAATATAAATTAATATTTGTAGCTACTGGCATTCTTTAATATTGGAACTTGGAATACAAACTTGACTTTTAAATAATGCATTATTTTCGAGAGAGTTCTTGGTTCATCTTTAGAAGAAACTCTTATAATAAAAATAAGTAGATGAATCTATGGTTAGAACTTCTTTATTTGAGGCTATAAGAAAATGTTAAAATCATGGATTACAAGAATACTTAAATTAAAAGGAATTTTCAGTTATTTACTAAAGAATACAAAATCATTTGAAATCTAAAACATAGTAAATGGCACATTCTTATTCTTATGTACCATTCATACATCAGATACCTTATATACACGTAGCATTGACTTACTCTACTGCTATTATATGAAGACGAAAGAATTGTGTCAATTTTTATAATGAAATGATAATTGAAGTACATGCAAGAAATACTCTAGAATTCATTCAAATAAATTTATAATATTTGATATTTAAAATGATGTTTAGGGTTGTGGATAAGGTTAATAAGATATTTAGGTCAATAAATGAATAAAAATGGGGTAAAAATTGATAATTTTTTGTCCTAATACTAAGAGATGTAATGAATGGATTTATGTTAAAAGATCCATTCAAAATTTATTTACAATACCAAGGTTAACAATAAAAAGTAAAGAAGCAGATATCACTATAATGTTCACTAGAGTTTATATGACTTTTATTCTTGATGGTAAATTATTTATTTTACTAAAGAAATAACTTAAAATAAGTCAAAACTATTATAGCTATTCCAAACAAATGAAGATTTTAGGCAATTATTCTAAGGAATTTATTAATATTTAGTCTCAGAAGAATTGGAGTTATGAAATATTTTTTTATGAATAAAATTTTTTATGAAAAGAATCTTTATGAATAAAATTCTTGATTAACAAAAAAGTAATCATTTAAAAATGATCAATAAAAATCACTCTGTGACAAATGTCAATTATGTGATTTCCAAGAGACTCTCCCTTAAAATAGGGAATGCTTAACTAAAGTGTTTATCATTGTATAAGTATTCGATAATTTCAGATGCTTCATGTAGTAATTCCATTTTGCCAAATTAACTTGTCACAATATTTAGTTTTTGCTTTATTTAAAATAATGTTTGAATTCTTTCTTACAAGTATCCACCTAAAGAATGAGTGTCTCCAACCAAATCTAAATATAGTGACAACCGTTAACAAGTGAATTCTAATTTATGTGACTAATGTTTTTCATTTTCACTCCAAACCTTGCTTGGTCTTCTTTGTCTAGAAGTTTGACAAGCTCCCATTTCAATTTCAAGTTTTAGCTTTTTTTATAGATTAAATTTATTAATTATTTCTAAATTGTTCTGAGGCTTTTAAATTTCATTCAACTACTTTTCTGGCCAAATAATTTATTTTCTTATTATACTATAGGAATAAAAACCCTTCAAAATTGAAAAACTCTATGAATATAGGAAAGTCTTAGTAGACTGGAAATGGCTAGGTCTTGATGTAATTTATTTTGTTCTTGGTGAATTATCTGTAAATTTAATTTCTTTTATCAATCTATGAGATAACTTTAGAAGGAGAGGTAATAGTGTAAAGCTAAAAGTATATAAAAGCTCCTTCATCTAATATGGAAATTATATAATAAGGATTAAGTTGCCAACATTTCGGTCTACTAGGGGATTAGCAATCTTAAGAATAAAGGGAAAAATCAAACCTAAATAAATATTTCCTGTAGTAATCTTAATAAAAATTATAAGAACTTTTTAAGAAGAAATTGTAAGTTATTAAAACAATATTTAGAGCAGCAAAATGTTCTCAATTAGCAGATGCTTTAAAAAATAGATTATAAAATAAATATTATGAAACTGTGGCACCTGGAAAAAATTATAATTTGATTTAAAGACTTTGAATTAAGTACAATAAATATCTAAATTAAAGTAATTCAGTAAAGATAATCATTAACAGTTTTAAAATAATTACTTGAAGGTTTATACTGTGAATTAGTTTTCTTATTTTTATTGTGAAGAGAGAAAGGATGAGAAAGTTATTAGGGATTAAAAATATGAAAATAGTAATTTGATTTAAAAATTAATTTTAGTCTCATATGTAGGATAAGGAAGAAGATTATAATAGTTAAATTGATATAAATAAAATGAAAGAATTAAAAGTATAGGAGATTCAAAAATATCATAATAGTAATTGAAATTAGAGAAATTAGAAAAGCAAATAAAATCAGCAAGTATTTGCTGTTAATTTTAATAAATAATTTAAAAAAAAATTAATAGAATAATAATTTAAAAATATATAATAATTTCTAATATCATTTTTTTTTAATTTCTTTTTTTTCAACAGATTTAATAACACCTACAGCCACAGTTTATTTCATATCTCTTACAGCAAATCTTCCTAAAGGAGGATATTCAGAAAAGACTTCAACAGACATAGGTTTAGTTGGTATTAATTTAATAATAGCAGAATCTCCAGCTTTAATAAATTTAGGTTGTTCTTCAATAACTTTAGCTGTTCTTTTATCAATTTTGGATATAATTTAATCAAATTTACATGCGATATGTGCTGTATGACAATCTAAAACAGGACAATATCCATTTTAAATTTATCCAGGATGATTAATTACAATCACTTAAGCATTAAAAGAAGTACATTCTCTTGCTGGATCATTTTTAGAATCAGAAGCGACAAATCCTCTTTTTAAATCTTTAACAGGTACACTTTTAATATTAAAACCTACATTATCTCCTGGTATAGCTTCTGGAATATCTTCATGATGCATTTCTACTGATTTCACTTCTGTAGTTATTCCAGATGGAGCAAATTGTATAACCATACCTTTCCTCAATGTTCCAGTTTCAACTCTTCCTACTGGAACTGTTCCAATTCCACCTATTTTATATACATCTTATAATGGAAGTCTTAATGGTTTATCTGTTGGTCTTTTTGGTGGTGTTATTGCATCTAATGCTTCAAGCAGAGTAGGACCATTGTACCATTATAAATTGTTTGATTTTTCTAACATATTATCACCATTCCATCCAGAAATAGGAATAAATGGTACATTTTCTGGATTATATCCTACTTTCTTTAAATAAATTATCATTTCTTTAGTAATTTCATCATATCTTGGTTTTGAATAATTAACTGATTTATCATCCATTTTGTTTATTGCACATATTAATTATCTAACTCCAAGTGTATAAGCCAATAATATATGTTCTTTGGTTTAACCATTTTGAGATATACCAGCTTCAAATTCACCTGCAGGAGATGCAATCATTAACAAAGCTATATCTGCTTATGTTGTTCCTGTTATCATATTCTTTATAAAATCTCTATGTCCAGGTGCATCAATTACTGTATAATAATATTTATTAGTTTCAAATTTCCATAATGAAATATCTATTGTAATTCCTCTTTCTCTTTCATCTTTAAGATTATCTAATACCCAAGCATATTTAAATGATCCTTTTCCAATTTTATTTGCATCTTCTTCATATTTCTTTATTGTTCTTTCATCTATTCCACCTAATTTATAAATCAAATGGCCTGTCGTTGTTGATTTTCCTGAATCAACATGACCAATTACTACTAAATTTACNAATAAATAATTTAAAAAAAAATTAATAGAATAATAATTTAAAAATATATAATAATTTCTAATATCATTTTTTTTTAATTTCTTTTTTTTCAACAGATTTAATAACACCTACAGCCACAGTTTATTTCATATCTCTTACAGCAAATCTTCCTAAAGGAGGATATTCAGAAAAGACTTCAACAGACATAGGTTTAGTTGGTATTAATTTAATAATAGCAGAATCTCCAGCTTTAATAAATTTAGGTTGTTCTTCAATAACTTTAGCTGTTCTTTTATCAATTTTGGATATAATTTAATCAAATTTACATGCGATATGTGCTGTATGACAATCTAAAACAGGACAATATCCATTTTAAATTTATCCAGGATGATTAATTACAATCACTTAAGCATTAAAAGAAGTACATTCTCTTGCTGGATCATTTTTAGAATCAGAAGCGACAAATCCTCTTTTTAAATCTTTAACAGGTACACTTTTAATATTAAAACCTACATTATCTCCTGGTATAGCTTCTGGAATATCTTCATGATGCATTTCTACTGATTTCACTTCTGTAGTTATTCCAGATGGAGCAAATTGTATAACCATACCTTTCCTCAATGTTCCAGTTTCAACTCTTCCTACTGGAACTGTTCCAATTCCACCTATTTTATATACATCTTATAATGGAAGTCTTAATGGTTTATCTGTTGGTCTTTTTGGTGGTGTTATTGCATCTAATGCTTCAAGCAGAGTAGGACCATTGTACCATTATAAATTGTTTGATTTTTCTAACATATTATCACCATTCCATCCAGAAATAGGAATAAATGGTACATTTTCTGGATTATATCCTACTTTCTTTAAATAAATTATCATTTCTTTAGTAATTTCATCATATCTTGGTTTTGAATAATTAACTGATTTATCATCCATTTTGTTTATTGCACATATTAATTATCTAACTCCAAGTGTATAAGCCAATAATATATGTTCTTTGGTTTAACCATTTTGAGATATACCAGCTTCAAATTCACCTGCAGGAGATGCAATCATTAACAAAGCTATATCTGCTTATGTTGTTCCTGTTATCATATTCTTTATAAAATCTCTATGTCCAGGTGCATCAATTACTGTATAATAATATTTATTAGTTTCAAATTTCCATAATGAAATATCTATTGTAATTCCTCTTTCTCTTTCATCTTTAAGATTATCTAATACCCAAGCATATTTAAATGATCCTTTTCCAATTTTATTTGCATCTTCTTCATATTTCTTTATTGTTCTTTCATCTATTCCACCTAATTTATAAATCAAATGGCCTGTCGTTGTTGATTTTCCTGAATCAACATGACCAATTACTACTAAATTTACATGTACTTTATCTTTTGGCATTTATTTTATTTATGACTTTACTTATCATAACTTTAATCATTTAAATATCAAAACTATTAATTTAATGACTATATTATTAAATTATTAACTTTAATTAAATTATTATTATATATTTTATTTATATAAATAAAATATATAATAATAATTTAATTAAAGTTAATAATTTAATAATATAGTCATTAAATTAATAGTTTTGATATTTAAATGATTAAAGTTATGATAAGTAAAGTCATAAATAAAATAAATGCCAAAAGATAAAGTACATGTAAATTTAGTAGTAATTGGTCATGTTGATTCAGGAAAATCAACAACGACAGGCCATTTGATTTATAAATTAGGTGGAATAGATGAAAGAACAATAAAGAAATATGAAGAAGATGCAAATAAAATTGGAAAAGGATCATTTAAATATGCTTGGGTATTAGATAATCTTAAAGATGAAAGAGAAAGAGGAATTACAATAGATATTTCATTATGGAAATTTGAAACTAATAAATATTATTATACAGTAATTGATGCACCTGGACATAGAGATTTTATAAAGAATATGATAACAGGAACAACATAAGCAGATATAGCTTTGTTAATGATTGCATCTCCTGCAGGTGAATTTGAAGCTGGTATATCTCAAAATGGTTAAACCAAAGAACATATATTATTGGCTTATACACTTGGAGTTAGATAATTAATATGTGCAATAAACAAAATGGATGATAAATCAGTTAATTATTCAAAACCAAGATATGATGAAATTACTAAAGAAATGATAATTTATTTAAAGAAAGTAGGATATAATCCAGAAAATGTACCATTTATTCCTATTTCTGGATGGAATGGTGATAATATGTTAGAAAAATCAAACAATTTATAATGGTACAATGGTCCTACTCTGCTTGAAGCATTAGATGCAATAACACCACCAAAAAGACCAACAGATAAACCATTAAGACTTCCATTATAAGATGTATATAAAATAGGTGGAATTGGAACAGTTCCAGTAGGAAGAGTTGAAACTGGAACATTGAGGAAAGGTATGGTTATACAATTTGCTCCATCTGGAATAACTACAGAAGTGAAATCAGTAGAAATGCATCATGAAGATATTCCAGAAGCTATACCAGGAGATAATGTAGGTTTTAATATTAAAAGTGTACCTGTTAAAGATTTAAAAAGAGGATTTGTCGCTTCTGATTCTAAAAATGATCCAGCAAGAGAATGTACTTCTTTTAATGCTTAAGTGATTGTAATTAATCATCCTGGATAAATTTAAAATGGATATTGTCCTGTTTTAGATTGTCATACAGCACATATCGCATGTAAATTTGATTAAATTATATCCAAAATTGATAAAAGAACAGCTAAAGTTATTGAAGAACAACCTAAATTTATTAAAGCTGGAGATTCTGCTATTATTAAATTAATACCAACTAAACCTATGTCTGTTGAAGTCTTTTCTGAATATCCTCCTTTAGGAAGATTTGCTGTAAGAGATATGAAATAAACTGTGGCTGTAGGTGTTATTAAATCTGTTGAAAAAAAAGAAATTAAAAAAAAATGATATTAGAAATTATTATATATTTTTAAATTATTATTCTATTAATTTTTTTTTAAATTATTTATTAAAATTAACAGCAAATACTTGCTGATTTTATTTGCTTTTCTAATTTCTCTAATTTCAATTACTATTATGATATTTTTGAATCTCCTATACTTTTAATTCTTTCATTTTATTTATATCAATTTAACTATTATAATCTTCTTCCTTATCCTACATATGAGACTAAAATTAATTTTTAAATCAAATTACTATTTTCATATTTTTAATCCCTAATAACTTTCTCATCCTTTCTCTCTTCACAATAAAAATAAGAAAACTAATTCACAGTATAAACCTTCAAGTAATTATTTTAAAACTGTTAATGATTATCTTTACTGAATTACTTTAATTTAGATATTTATTGTACTTAATTCAAAGTCTTTAAATCAAATTATAATTTTTTCCAGGTGCCACAGTTTCATAATATTTATTTTATAATCTATTTTTTAAAGCATCTGCTAATTGAGAACATTTTGCTGCTCTAAATATTGTTTTAATAACTTACAATTTCTTCTTAAAAAGTTCTTATAATTTTTATTAAGATTACTACAGGAAATATTTATTTAGGTTTGATTTTTCCCTTTATTCTTAAGATTGCTAATCCCCTAGTAGACCGAAATGTTGGCAACTTAATCCTTATTATATAATTTCCATATTAGATGAAGGAGCTTTTATATACTTTTAGCTTTACACTATTACCTCTCCTTCTAAAGTTATCTCATAGATTGATAAAAGAAATTAAATTTACAGATAATTCACCAAGAACAAAATAAATTACATCAAGACCTAGCCATTTCCAGTCTACTAAGACTTTCCTATATTCATAGAGTTTTTCAATTTTGAAGGGTTTTTATTCCTATAGTATAATAAGAAAATAAATTATTTGGCCAGAAAAGTAGTTGAATGAAATTTAAAAGCCTCAGAACAATTTAGAANACCCCTATAATCGAATCTGATTGTAATATATATAAAATTTGAATGATAACTTAACTTTATTGATTTAATGATTTGGATTGCTTTACTTAAATAAAATATAAAATTTCAATAAATTAAAATCTTTTATTAAATCAACATTTATAATTAAAATTTAGCCTTCATTGCTCTCATAAAAAAATAATTTACTAAGAAAAAAATTTTACTTCATCCTATTGTTATTAAATCATTTAAAATGAAAAATGATAAATTTTTGATTGAGTAAAGATAATCAAATTATTTTTGAGTCTGTATATCTTTGAATTTAGAATAATATATTTAAAATAGAAACTTATTTAATTCTTAATTTTTAACGTAAAGTGTAAAAAATAGTTGCGTGATAACTCATTGTTATAGAACAAGCCTCTGCTACTCCCCCAACCTTAATAATTAGCACTGCTTAAATTAATTTAGGATAAATCACGAATAAAGAAAGATAATAAGATATAATATTATTTAAGAAGAAAATTGCCGGATATCTATAACTAATGAAAATATGAAAATGTTCAAGTTTAATGAGATCCTTTTAATAATTTAAAAGCGTACAAAGTTTAAATGTTAATTTTGAAACAAAATTTTGTTTGGTATGACAAGTAGAACTCAAAAGTCAATATAAAGGAATCTTACGAACTTGATTAGGATCTTGAAAATTAAGACTATTATTTGATTAAATATATGGAAGTTTCATCATAAAAGGAGAATAAATAGCCGATAATATTCGGAAGAGCTTGAGATTGAGCTGATAATTAAATTTACATATATATTTTTTGAATGTATTTAGCCTTCTCTGTTAGCTTTAATTTCAAAAACTCATCGATTTAAATTCTATTGAATATTCAAAAAATTAATTTTGTAGATTCATTTTCTATTATGATTATATTAACATTGCTTCTTGATATGTAAATTTAATGTTTCTCTAATTAGTTCTATAATTATTCTAATTATTCAAGTAATTCTACCTTAAAATCTTGAGAAAGTTGAAAAACAAGCCCTATTTTTATTAGATTATAAAAAATAAATTTTAATATTTTAAGTTTAAATTTCACATTTCTTATTAAAGCCATACATAAGATCAAGCTTAACTTTTGTTATTACTTTATAATCATATATTTAAATCAAACCTTATTAACTGGTATTCTGAAATACTGAATCTTGTTTCAATTATAATTTTGAAACACAATGTTTAGTTAATACCAAAATTTTCAGTAATTTTGAATTAGTCGCTAAAAATGAATATTTTCAATACAATTTTTCTATATTAAAAGAAATGTAGGGATTTATTTTGTCCAAAATCCTCTCTTATTAAATTAAACAATATGTCTTTTAATAAAAAAAATGATTTGAGTTATGATAAGAGAAAACCCACTACCTTGAGATTTGTCTTTTTTATAAAAGGACTAAATTTCGTCATACTTGATATTACTTATTTTTTAAAGCTTCCTATTTCATTTGCAACAATCCAGATCATGACAGAAAGATAGTAAGAGAAGAAAAATGAAATTAAAGGAGCAGAGACAAAGATTAATCGATTGATGAATCTTTCCCTGTCGAAAAAATTTGAGGGACTCTGTTCTATAGATACAAAACTTTACTCTTATAACTCCATTACACAAAATTGTGATAACTTTTTATGATGCTCAAGTTTAACTGGAACCAGTGTAGAATCCTGATTTGTTCCAATTTCACAGCAGATAACTGTCCAAAAGAATGTCCGAAAAATAAAAAGGGATTTCAAGACTATTAATGTTCAACACTCAAATTTTATTAATGTCTCATAAACTTTTTTAATCGACCAATTTGCCAAATATCTGGAAATCTCTGTCTAGTTGTATGCTCAGATTTTATAAGATATGACGTATGTTAGATGGCACATGTTTAAAAGAAAAGCATTTCTCCCATGCTATTGGAATGGTTTCTCATGCGTTGATGCAGATGGACCAGAAAATTTTCATCTGAGACATGCTTTAGTAATATTTTGGGCTAATATTATTGGTCATCAAATTAATCAGATAGCGGATCCTGTGTATAATTCAATAGTGAAAACAGTAATTAAAGTTATCGAGTTTTATTTAATTTTATATTCTTTTCGTTCTATCATTGATCATTTATGATATAATAAATTATGATAAAAATTAAAAATATTCTAAAAATAATATATCTATCTATTCAACATAATATATTTCTTAATCATAAAAATCTATCATTTCTTACATAAGGTTGGTACCTAATTTAATATCAATCTTACATTGATTATTATTAGTTAAATGATGGAGGTGTATATGCTTATTATTAAATGTATTATGACATGGTTGGTTATTTCAAAGGTGATTATTACTCATTCTACTAAAGATATGGAGAGAATGGTTAAGAAAATGTTGGCTATTTTTAAAATTATGATTATTATAAGGGTTGCGTCGGAATTTAAACTTAATTGATTTGATTATATTAAGAATTTTACTATGAATTTTGAAAATATTAATTTAGTGAAGAATTTCCTAATGATACAGTTTATATTGGTTGAATAACGGATGGCATTCCATTCTAAGGAAGGAAAGATGTATTTGATGAAGGTAAAATAGGAACATAAGGATCTGCAGTTTAATAAGGATTGCATTTAGACATTACTTCTCTACTTTTTTGAAGTGCTCTTTAAATAATAAGATCCATGTCCAAGAAATTTGGTTGATACGGATTATGAAATTGTTAATTCGGAAGTCTATATGTATCACTTTCATCTTAATGAGTGAAAGTAGTTGGAACTGTTGCTGCTTATTGTTATTGAACTTCTCCTTTCATTACTTAAAATCTTTCTTTTAATTATCTTATTTTATCCAAACCTGCTTATGTAGTTAAAGGGGTTGGTTAATTATTTAATTCATATTTTGATTAAGGAACTATATCAAAATCATTGTTATTTAGTTTAGCAGATTCTAAATTAGGTTAGAAATTAGATGTAATTTATCTATTAAAAGAATCATTTATAAGATTATGCTGATCATAAAGAGATTAAGGTTAACTTTCAATGATTTATTCTTATGTGAAATTAGATTGATTCTTAAAATGCATAGTTGAATTTATAGCTTAATCTTACATATTCAATGCATATAAATTTGGAGATATTCTACTAGAATCTACATGAGATATCTTTTCTAAGATTTCTAAATAAGTTGGTCTATGATATGTGTTTAATTGTAATAAATCTTTTAATAAATGCTTCATTGCATCAGAGTAATTGTACTTTTCGAAAGCACTATTCAATTTTTGATTAGCTAATTCTGAATTAAAAGTGAAATTAGTATAGAACCTTTTCACATCCATATTTGTTATGCAAACCAAAAAAATAACACCAAGTATAAATACGTTCTATTTTTCAATAGAATATTCTTATTTATCCTTAAACTCTAGATAATGATATTTACATTTTATCGCTCATTTTCTAATACATATAATTGCTCAGGTGATAGATATTCAACTTCCCTTAATTGTGTAAAGACTTTTTAATACGCACTTTATTAATTAGCTAAACAACACAATTCTAATAGTTTAACTTCACCATTTAGCTTAATCCTTATATTGTATGGATGCAAATCTTGATATTGAAGATTAATCATCTAAAGATCTTTCAATCCAGAAAGTATTGTTTATGTTAAATACCAAAGTTCCCCTTCATTATAACTATAATGATTATTTTATTATTCAATACGTTCTATCATTTGCTCTTCGATTTAAGATATCATCTTAAAGACTTTTTTCTAAATATTCCAATCCAACATGCAAAAAATTTATATTGCTACATAAATCTTCAGTTGTTTGAACCTAATAGTCCAATATTTTCGTAAAGTATTGATTGTTTTATTATTTTCTAAATAATATCATTATTTACCTCATTTGAATTATGTTAGTTTTCTTTTCCATATCTGATTAATCATAAAATTTTATTAATGCCATCTAATCAGCTCGTTTTATCTTACTACTATATAATTAGATATCTCCATAACCATCATCTTGTGCAACATTGAGAAAATTGTATTCATTTAATATTTCGAAATTTTATTTTGAGCTGTTAGCTCCCATTTATAAAATATTTATTATAATTAATAAAAACATTCTTGTTTCGATTTAATTCAATGATATTTTGTTAATATATACAATTAAAATAAAAACTTAACAAATTTTAATTTTAGTTTTCTTCATTTGAAATTTTTAATCTAAATTAACTCTTGCTTGAACAGTTTAATTTTATGCAAATTCATTTTAAATCTATTTTTATAAATACCTTGATGTTTACACATTTCCATTTTATCTCAAATTAATATAAAGAGGTCAATAGTTTATCTATAAATATATATTAAATAAACAAAATAGATTATAAATAAATGTGCAACTTTTAAAATTCCTTCCTAAATTAATTGTCAATTATCATATAAGGATTATCTTCCTGATTTTAAATTCTGCTTGTACCTCCTAAGTATTTTAGATTAATGAAAAACAAGGTTAAAAAAAATAAAATTGATATCCCCTTCCACCTCATTATTATTATTTTGAATGATTTTTTAAGAATAAAAATGATTAATAATGCAATATTTCAAAATTCCTTTTTTATTTCTTATTATGTAAATTAAAATAAGATTTTTATCGTTAAATGTTATTCACATCAAAATAAATCATAATTTTTTGATCTCCCAGAATTGAGAATTTCTGGAATTGTTATAACGGCTTATAAGTAGTATTTATTCATTGAAATTTATTGACTAATTTTATGTGTTAAAAAACATTATATTTAAAAAAATGGATTAATAAATCACAGTATTTAATGTATTCTTCAGAATGATCGACTCTCATTAAAATTTTATATTTTATAGAAAATTAAGTCTTGAATAAAGATAAAAATTGGTTGCTTTATGGAGAAGGGTGTTTTTAGCAACCTATTTTATTGGAATAATGAGATCCTTTTAAAATAGAGTGAAAATTTTTGGAGCCATAAGATAAGATGATCATATGGATCTAATAGAAGATGAAGTATTTAAATCAAATTAAGGTGAGAAAAGAACTTATCTATTATATCCAGATGAGCAATTTAAAACCATTTGGAATATGCTTTTAATATTTTTATTGTTAGCAACAACAATAATAACACCATTTAAAGTTTGTTTTGTAAGAATATTATCTTAAATATAGATTGATTCAGGTAATGATGGATTTTGGTTTTGGGTTGATGTTATCTTTGATATTTTATTTTTTGCTGATATAGTAATCAATTTTCTGAGTGCTTTTTATGATGAAGAACAGAAAGTTATTGATGATTATATTCTTATAGCTAAATCATATTTAACAGGATGGTTTATAATAGATTTTATTGCAGTTTTACCAATCACATATTTTTTAGATGACAACACATAGGCAAAAGCATTAAGATATAATAAATTATTAAGATTAATAAGATTACCTCGATTATATAGATTAGTAAGGTTGATAAAAATGTCAAAAGCAAGTCTTAATGTGAAAAATAAAACTCAAGTAGCAAGAATTTTGTCTTACTTTGGAATTAATGAAGGCATAATAAAGGGTTTAATATTGTTAGGTAAAATCTTACTTATAAATCACTTAATTGCTTGTTTTTGGTACTTTATAGCAAAGTTTAATAATTTTGAAGATGATACTTGGATAGTTTAATCAAATTTAGAGAATGCGTCAATTTATAATTAGTATATGGCTTCTTTTGAATGGAGTTTACAAACATTAACAACAGTTGGTTATGGAGATATAATAGCAACAACAATAGAAGAGAGAATATTTGCTATATTTTGGATGATATTTGGAACTGGTTTTTTTTCATACACATTAGGTAAGTTATCATCAATTTTGGAGAATGTTGATAAAAAATGGGTTGATTTTGAAAGAAGAATGCATTTATTTAATGATTTTTCTGTTAGAGTTAAATTGCCATATGCATTAAAATGCAAAGTTCATAAATATTATAGAAATAATTATCTGAAGAATGTTTATACATCATTAGACCCAAAAAAATTTATTTAAGAGTTACCATCACAATTAAGGAATGAATTATTGATGATTTGCTATAAATATTTGATAGATAGTGTTTGTTTGTTGAAAATAGATAACAATTTTACAGCTACAATTTTACCTCATCTTAATTTTCTTGAAGCACATCCAGAAGAAATAATTTATAGATAGGATGATCCACCAACAGATATTTATTTCATAGAGAAAGGAAAAGTAAATTTTATTACACATGATAAATTCACTTTGATAACATTGTTAGAAGCCTCATTTTTTGGTGAAATTGAAGCATTTGAAGATATTAACAGAGAATATTTTGCTGTAGCAAAAGAACCAACTAATTTGTAAGATTTTGCTTATTTTTAGATTCTTTTGTTCTTATGAAAATTTTAGAAATTTATTAAAGGAATTTCCAACCGTAGCATCTGAAGTTAAATTAATTTATGATAAAAGAAAATAGAAATATTAAACCTGTTTATATATGATTGAGCTGTAAAGGAAGAGAAATTCTGGATTAGAAATTAAAGAGGTAAAAATTGAATGATTATTTTTTTAGGAATTGTAAAACAGTACCTAATATTATCTTGGTTTGATTGCATAATATGAAGAAGAATAAAACAAAATAAATAAAAATAAAGGTTTATTAAGTAAATAAAAGAAAAGTGTATTGGATTAATTTTCTTTCAAAAAAAAATTATAGAAGATGTCTGTATTTTAAACACTTAAGTGAAATAATATAAATTATAATATTAATGAAACAGTAAAAAAAGTTAGTACTTCATTTCGATTTGAATAAAACTATAGTTTTAGCTGATTCTCATTACCCAAACTAAACTAAGGAAGAATGTGTATAGTATTTAATTTAATAAAAAGTTATAAGAAATATTGGTAGGATATGCCTGGGGTAAATTAGAATAGAGAGATGAGAAATCCCCAATTCTATGGAAATTATTAACAAATAACTTTACTCCAATAAGACCTACAGAGGATATGATATCTTACAAAGAATATATTTGTCAATAATTTCCATTGAAATCTGAAGGTGATCCTGAAGATATTAAAGAATATAATGCTAGTGCAATGTATTAGTTTATTTACATATATATAGAGAACAACGTAAATAATTATATTTTTAATTTGTAAAATTGGGTTAACCATGTATGAAACTGAAGCCAGAATATGATAGGATTGTTAAATTGATTGTAAAATATTATATGTTAATCTATAGACCTTACCAAAAGCAGTTATTGAAGAGCTAAAATAATAAATTGAAGAATTTGGTTAAATGAATGAAGAAGATGTAAAATAGAGAAATCTAAATTAATTATTAAATGATAAGGATATGCTTAATAATTTATTTTAGGATAATAAATACTAATTGTTACCTACATTTTATAAGACTATAATTAATCTAAAGAAATAAAAAAGAGAATTTGCTATAGTGTTTCGTCCTTTTGGGCAAGATCCAAAAAACATACTAAGAGAATTCAATAAATTCTGTATAGGAGAACATCCTTGTTTTAGTGGTAGAAATAACACACCAATTGTAAAATTTGATGGTTCAAAGGGAACTAAAAATTATATTATATAAGAAAAATAATGTGCATTAGTTTATAGATTATAGAATTAATTAGTTGCAGGAAGTTTGAGAAGAACTGATAAATAATAATTAGAGGATGGATATGAAAAGGAAATAGAAGAAGAATAAGTGTAAATTTATAATGTTGCATAAATGTTATTAAAGATATCAGAGTCTTTAAAAGAGAGTTGTGCACTTTGTTATGTAGATGATTATAAATTTTATGAATAAGAACCTAATGAAAATAATGCCAAACAATTATATGTTGATTAATAGGATGCAGATACTTTACATATATTTTTTGATGATGGTATCTAAGAGTAAGTATATAATATATTTAGAAATGAAAATAATTTGGTTTAGGTTATTGATTGTGTAACATTAGAACCTATAAATAGGAAGAAATGCTTGAACAAGTATTTAGTACATGTAGATATCTTGGATGTAATTAAAGATCCAGATTATTTTATTAAATAAATAGATATTTGTGAAAGAAATAGAAATGAAGAAATTGAAAGGATAGAAAAAGGAATACCTGAAGAATAAGCTGAATTACCAAAGAAAACTGAATGGGAACTCTTAGAAGAGAGTTCGGATGCTGATTATTTAAGAAAAACTATTCTTCCATTACTTTTACCAGCATTGCAACTTCTTGATATTGAAAGACCAAAAGATCCACTTGAGTTTATTGCTATGTTTTGTTTGAAAAATAAGGAATTAGTTAAGATACCTCAACCTCCTGATTAATAAGAATGAAATTAATTTAATAAATAAATTAATGTTAGTATTTATTTTATTTACAATAATAAACTCGAAACAGGTCTCCTTCCTAAGACATGGTATAAGATCACCAAATGATTATAATGATTAAGATAAAGAGATATGGGGAGATTATCCTTAAGGATATTTAACATAAAAAGGATTTGATTAGGTGAAATTGATGGCAACAAATAATTTTACAATTCATGATGAAAATGGTTATTGCAATTATGAGTCCTTTAATATGATTTCATCAGTAAAACCTAGAGTTATTCATTCTGTGATTGCTTTCATTTAAGGATTATGTCCTTAAAACTATAATGAAATTTTGGTACAATATTTTATGGACTATTATAAACAATATTCAACAGATACTTAAAATTTTGATAAAATAATAAATTCTAACTTTAGTGATCCTTTTAAATTAAATTTTGAAACATTCAAGATAAATAATGATTTTATGTTTCATGGACATAAAAGTGAATAATGTCCATTAATAGATGTTCTTGATGATGCTATATATAGCAGTGCCGAATATGAAGAAATAAATAAATAGGTAAGATAGCATAAATAATTTAAAAATACTTTTAAGTTATATAAGTAATGTAATCGTAATTCAAATGTTACAGAAGAGACTATAACAATAACTTAATTAAAAAAATTATATTCAAATATTTTGTGTAATGAAGCAGAGGGATTGTATGATTATAATTTAAACACTGAATAAATTGATTTTTTGATGAACATCTTTAAATTTTAATATTTTGAAATAGATTATTCACAACCACTTTAACATTAATCAACTTTATCATATATTTTGAAATGGTTGTTTTAAGAATTCTTTAGTGAAGTAGAAGAAAGTTTCTTTTATGGTCATGATGATAATTAATATGCTTTATTATCTGTCATAACTAAAGAATAGTCCTATGTAAAATTTGCAGGAAGATTGCAATTTAAAATTACAAATGATGAAGTTAATGTATTTTTAGATGATAGATTGCTTATAACAAATTTCTGTAGAGAAGGTGTTAATTGTAAAATAAGTGATGCAATTAGATACTTAAACAAATATGTCAATCCAAATATTGAAAGAGATTGTTAATTGATTATTTGATTTATGATATTAAATACATAATTTATATACAAGTTATAAAATGAGGAAAATTATAAGTATTCATAAATCTTAGTAGAATTTTTAAATTTAAAGAGTGATAACTGTAGTTTGAATTGTAGAAACTCTTTTGGAAAAGGAAATTAAGTAAGAATTGAAAATAAAAAAAGTTTAGATTCTAATAGTTGAGATATACATTAATAATTATTTATTTGTGCTTTTTATTGCAATGAAAGGACCGGTATATATTATAAATCTAATATAGTTTCTATGGGGATTTGTGTATAAATCTGTATTCAACTTCAGAAGTAAGATGATATTGTATCTATATTAGAGCCTACTTTGAAATTTTTACAAAGCCCATTTAGTTTAAATAAGGATGATTTAATTAAAAAAGCTGTCAACATTCCAGATCATAAATTTAATTTCCAACCTTATATCTAGGCTGATGCTACATTCTTGGTGAATCAATAAAATATTTAAAATTTGCGTCTGTTGTAAAAAGAATTTGCATCAGATCCTTAAAATCCTGAAAAGGCATTTAAGTATATAAGACAATTAAATCGTTTGTAAATGTATGATGATGCACTTAAAATATTTAAATAAACAGGTATGAAGTAAAATAAAAAGATTAGAGTTTCGAGAAAGTGCTACTCCAAAATAACATCAATAATTATAAGAATAATATGGGATTGCAGTAACAAATTTAAAGTCAAATTAATATGGAGATAAACGTAAATCAATGATACTTCCAGGAATGATTTAATTATTGATAACAGCAGCAATTCTTTATTAGATGATGTATTTTTTTTAACCTGGACAATCTAAATCAAAAAATGAAAAAAATTAAAAAGATGTTCCTGATTAAGGAGCTGGTAGAATGGATAGATTTTATAATATTTTAAGAAATAATTAAACAGTATAAGAAGAAAGGAATATTCCAACACGTTTTAATGATGTATTGGGAATAGATGAATTTAAAGAAGAATTAGAAGAAATAGTGGAATTTTTGAAAAATCCAAAGAAATATACAGATTCTGGTGCAAAATTACCAAAAGGAATTCTATTAGTAGGTCCACCAGGAACTGGTAAAACACTATTAGCAAGAGCATTAGCAGGAGAAGCAGGATGTGCATTTTTTTATAAGTCAGGATCAGAATTTGATGAAATGTTTGTTGGAGTAGGAGCTTCACGTGTTAGAGAAATATTTAAAGCAGCAAGATAGAAGGCTCCATCAATAATATTTATAGATGAAATAGATAGTATAGGAGGTAGAAGAAGAGCATAAGATCCAGGTTATTCAAGAGATACAATAAATTAAATATTGACAGAGATGGATGGATTTAAATAGAGTGAAAGTGTTATAGTGATAGGAGCAACAAATTTTGAATAAGTATATAATATTATAATGAATTACAGGTATTAGATCCAGCATTGAAAAGACCAGGAAGATTTGATAAAATGATTCATGTTCCTTTACCTGATGTGAAAGGTAGAGAATAGATATTTTAATACTATTTACAAAAAATAAAATATGATATTGTAAAGGTATTACCATAAAATTTGGCAAGATAAACAAGTGGATTTAGTGGAGCTGATATTTAAAATATGGTTAATGTAGCAATATTAAATGCTATAAAATATGATAGATAAGTTGCAACAACAGAAGATTTTGAATTTGCAATAGATAGAATTGCAATGGGAGTAGGTAGAAAGAATATGCATGTTAGTGATAAGGAGAAATTAATGACTGCTTATCATGAAGGTGGACATGCATTAACTAGTTTATTAACTGAAGGAGCAATGCCACTTCATAAAGTTACTATTCTACCAAGAGGAGGAGCATTAGGATTTGTATTTATATATATATATAATTATTTAATTAGACAGCAATGCTTCCAGAAAAAGATTAACTTAATTATACTAGAAAGGGAATAATAGCATCAATTGATGTAGCTATGGGAGGTAGAGCAGCCGAAGATTTGTTTTTGGGAAAAGATGATATTACTAGTGGTTGTAGTAATGATTTGGCTAAAGCTACTGATCTTGCTTATATGTTTGTCAAACAATTAGGAATGGATGATAAAATATCATTGATCTCCATTTAAAGTGATAGAGTTAAAACTAGTGATCAATTTGATTACATGGTTGATATGGAAGTTAAGAAAATATTAGAAGTAATATCTTTTTATTAATCTTTTCTTTAGGAATCCTATAATAGAGTTAAAAATCTATTAAAACTTAATGAAACCAAACTCAAAGATTTAGCTACAGAATTAGTAAAGAGGGAAACATTATCAGCTGAAGAAATCAAAAAGTTATTATAAATTAATTGAATATAATTTAAGTGATTATACATTTATTTAACCATTTTTAACAAATAATAAATTTATTTAAATTATGGGTCACGAAGATCTTAATAATGAATCTGAAAATCATTCCTAAATCTAAGATTCATTATATAGAGATGAAGAAAAAATGGAAGAATCAGCAAATGTGGCATATTTACTTACTTTAGGAATCTTATTAGGTCTTGCTTTAAGGGAATTGAATAAGAAAACCAAGTAACATTCTAACAATTTTAGATAGATTTCCCTATTCCCCTATGGTCCTAACATGTGGATTGCTAATAGGTTTATTATAAAGTTATCTTGGATATTTGGGAACAAGCGCAAACATTTTGAGTCATATGCATCCGCATTTAATAGTTTATGTCTTTATTCCTGTACTTCTATTTGAATCAGCTTTTAATTGTGATTGGTATATCTTCAAATATCAGATTGTCAACATCCTACTTTTAGCTGGACCTGGAGTTGGTTGGGTATAATAGAATGTATATCTATTAGGGAGCCATTCTTTTAGGAATTGTATTTAAATTGTTCCTATTTTATGGTGATGAAGATATGAATTGGTATTAAGCATTTACTTTAGGATCTGTATTATCTGCAACAGATCCTGTAGCTGTTGTTGCATTATTAAAAGAATTAGGTGCAAGTGCTGCATTTAATCATTTAATTGAAGGAGAAGCTTTATTAAATGATGGAGTTGCTATGGTGTTTTTTATATTCTTTAATAAACTCTCTAAAGCTGCTGCAGGAATTGGTGGAGGAGTTACTTTTGGAGGAGTTTTACTAAATTTCTTTAGGAATTCTATAGTAGGTCCATTATTAGGAGTTGTTGTAGGATTTTTTGGAGCTTTATGGGCTAAAAAAATTGTAGGAGATGATGTTGAAGTAGGTTGGTTAACATTTATATTTACATATCTTACATTTTATTGGGCTGAATTTTGTTTCTTTAAAACAAGTGGATTATTAGCTGTTGTATCTTTAGGTTTATTTTGGAGTGCATTTGGAAAAACTAGAATAAGATCAGAAAGTGAACATGCTGTACATACTGTTTGGAGTTTTGTTCAATATTTTTGTGATACAACAGTGTTTTTATTAGTAGGTATGATAGTAGGTACAGAAGTGATAGAAGAGAATTACATTTACACATCAGATTATTTTAGAATGATTTTATTTTATTTCTTTATGATAATATGCAGATACTTAATGGTTATATCATTTTGGCCATTATTAAAGAAATATGGATATCCAATGTCATAACCAGAATTAATAGTATTTGTTTATGGAGGGTTAAGAGGTGCATTAGGTTTAACACTTTCATTGATGGTTGGATGTGATGAAGATCTACCATAAAGATTTAGACATTTAGCTGTATTTTTCACTGCTGGAATGGCTGCTCTTACAAATCTTGTTAATGGTACAACTTGTAAAGCTTTAGTGAATTATTTAAATATGATAGAAAATCCAGTAATAAAAAAGAGAGTTTACAAACGTTATTTAACTGATATGATTGTTAATTAAACTGATACAATAAAAGAATTAGAAGGAGATGAACATTTTGCTATGGCTGATTGGAATTAAGTTAAATCACTTGTTGGTTCTTAATAATTTTTAGAAGAAGTAGTTTCTTTAGAAAATGAAATCAAATTAATCTAAGGTGGAAATATGAGTAGAATTTCTTATGAAGGAGTTACTGATACTGAAACTTTTTGCGAAGTTAGATATAGAGTACTAAGAATTCTAAAAGGAATATACTACTCTAAATTTGAACATGGATAATGTGATGAAGATTCTGTTAGATTACTTGTAGAATCTAGTGATGTTGCACTTGATCATACTGGATCAATTCTTAATATTTGGGAATAATTATTCTAAAGTTTTACTAGTTTTAGTAGTATTTAATACTTCTTTAGAGTTAAAGAATGGACATTTCTAGGTGGATATGCTTAATAATATATAACTAAACATTTGGGATTTGTTTATGATGTTACAACTACATTTATATCTTCTGCAAATGAAATTATTTCTTTATAATAACATATGCCTGTTAATAAGAATGCAGTCAAATTAATTATGGAAGAAATTAAAACTGAAATTAATAAAGCTGAACTCTATTTAGGTAGTTTAAATGATACTTTCCCTGAAGTTATTAGAGCTATTCAAACTAAAAGAGCTTCACATACTGTACTTATGCATTAAAGACATCATCTTGAAGAAAATCAAAAAAACGGATTTGTTGATGATAAAGAATTTAATTAACTTAAAAGCAATATTGATGCACGTCTTGTCTAACTTGAAAATCATGTTTTTGATTGGTAAATTCCATCTTTTCATTCTTTTGCTATGGAATTCCCTATTTTTGCTGGTGTTCCTAAAGAAGAATTAGATACCATCATTAAATCAACATATGAAAAAAGATATTAAACAGATGAAATTATCTATGAAAAAGGTATGACCTGTCAAAATATTTATATTGTTCAAAAAGGAAATGTTATAGATGAAGTTGGACCTCATTAATTAAAAAAAGGACTAGGAACTCTACTCTCATATGCTAATCTTATTGGAGATGGAAAATGTATGTCTACTTCTAGAGCTGTATCTGAATCTGTATTACACTCATTAAATTTAAATGTTCTTAAGTCATTAATGTAAAAATCACCAGCTTTTGAATAAAAAATTTATGTTAACTCTATAGGTTATTTATTATTTATATTCTTAGAATATTTGATTAAATTATATGAATCATAAGCTGGTCCTTTAGGTTAAATGGAATAAAAAAGTTTAGGAACATTCCTTAGACAAAAGAGTCAATTCAAAAAGTTTGATATCCATTCTAACGTTGAATTTATGTTTGGTGGATACATAATTAGAGGAGAAATACAAAGTTGCATACAAGATGAAAATGAAGGTATTGAACGTTACAATGATTATTGGTAATAATTTAATTCTAAATTAGTTATGTACCACCAAGAGAAAATGATTTTACTGTCACAAAAGCACTTATATGTCTAATATTTGATGATTCAATAGATGTGATAAAGTAGGATAGATTAGAGTAATTCAATTTAGAGAATCAGGAAGAAGTAATAGAGCAAAGATTTTCAAGGATAGATGTTCAATAGAAATATTAATAATAAGAATTATGAATAAATAAAAAAATTATATAATTAAAATTGGAATATATCTTGTTTTCATGAATAATATTTAATAAAATAAATTAGCATATGATTTTGGTAGTGATGGGGCTGAATAAGAATCTATTTAAAAGAATTTAAATGGAGGGATGAATACTATAAGGAGGTATATAGGTACATCAAATATATTAGTATTTCTTATTCATCACATATTCTTGATCTTTTTATTGGTCTTTCATAAGAACATCTTGGTAATATATAAGATATATATAATGATTCTCTATTAAGATTGGTTTTTTTTTAAGATTTCAAAAGCGTCTATTGGAAAAGAAGCAGCAGTTGGGTGATTTAATATACTGTTAAGTTTTTTGAAAAAATCTTTCTTAAGATGTAATAGTAAGATTATTAGTTGTTTTATTAGTAAGAGAGATATTGAATGGCTAAATCAAAATTTGGTTTGCTTAATTTTGATTATAATTCTAAAATCTCATTTATAATTTTAATATTAGCCATTTTAACTTTCTTGAAATTAAAATTCGATGAATAAGCTTTAATTCTTAAATGTAGGATTGGATAAAAAGAATCTATGATTTCTTAAATAAATTAATTTCAATTTATTTTACAATTTTATTTTGATAACTCAAATTAAAAATTACAAATAACCAAGCATGGTATTAGATAGATATCTTAAAGATTTTAGAATGGATAGAACAAAATAATTATTTATCATCAAAAATGTAGTTTCCTTTGTTTACTTTTTGATATTTTCAAATTTCTTTTATTCATATTTAATAATCTCCTCTTTTAAAAGTTCTTCAACATCAATGAACATACAATTAATTAATCTGATTGTCTTTCTTTAATATCTTAAATGTCATTCGAATAAATAAATTGTTGAAATAAAGATAAATTTAATCAATTTCTAAAATAGATGTTATTCAATTATATATAAATTGTAAAATACAATTTATGAACAAAAGTTACTTTCTCTTAGATGCAGTATAGAATGAAATAATCTCTATCTAAATTTTTAACGATAAATAGATAATATAATATAAACAATAGATAGAATCAATTTTATTTTTTATTTTTTGCAATTTGTGAATCTAATCTCTTTTTTTCTTTTTCATGTTCTAATTTCTCAAAATATGGCTTTATGTACACTTTATCCAAATAGCAATAGATTTGATAAATAACAAACATTACAAATCCATGAATCATGCATGATCTCATATAATCGAAAAAACACCATGCTATATTGAACCCAAATACAATTAGAATTAATAATGAATATCTGTATAATCCTTATTGTAATTTTCTATCATATTTCTCCAAACGATCATGATATAAAATAATTATTTTTTTATATTTCTCATTAGTTTGATTTATACAATCTTCATCTTCATATAAAGATACTTCTTTAAGCCATTTATCCTTATAATAATTGTACTTATATTGATTATATACAATTCTAAATAATTTAAAGAATCCTAATATAGAAGAATATGTAATTAAAGCCCACATACTTCCAATTAAACATCTAATAACAACATCTAATATCTAAACTGATATCATTGCTTTATATTTAGCTCTTAATGCTTAAATTGAATTATCTTCTTCTTCTAATTATTCGATTTGCATTTATTCTTATTTAGAAATTATATAAATAGATTTCTAATAAAATTTTAAATTTAAATTTATAGTGCGCCAAATTGCTCTCAAAAATGAATCACTCAACTTAAAAATCATAATCACATTCAGCAGAAAGACGCTCTACTTCAATTTTTATACATCCTTTTCCTAAACCTCCAAGTTTTTCTGATATATCAATATTTAAGATTGATTTTAGTAAGGAAAATATTCCACCCTAAAAAATAAGTTGGGGATAATATTCTTAATCTCTTTAATTATCTACTATTTCTTAAAAGAAAAAGCCAACATAAAAATATGTTGAATTGGAATCTCAAACTGATTCCAAAATTAAATTCAAATTTCCTCTATATACAGATCATCAACTTGGCATCAAACCAGAATTTTAAAATTTATTGTAAGAAGCATATGATAATGATGATGATATCAATACAAAAGAAAGTGTAATGAATTTTTTTATAGATGTTTGCAAAAAAGATTTAATATAAGGGATAGTTGAAAATCAATAAATTAAAGATTAACAAGGGTATTTAAAGTATTAATATAAATAGAAATCCCATTCTAAATTTTTCAGGCTTGACACAAAGATTAAGTGCTCAATATGAATCTATAAAGGAGAATGCAGAATGATATTCAATCAATTTTTATCATTCTGTTCATTTTTCAAATTTTAATTCAAACCATGACTCCCATTTCTTTATTATAATGTTAAAGTTACCAAAATAATTAGAATTTTTAGTATAAATAAAATTCAATATTCATCATAATAATTATCTTCAGTCAACTTTTCTTCAAATAAGGATTTTAATCCTTTTCCTTCTATTCTTGAATCGAAAACTATATCAAAATTATTGATTTCTTAATAAATTTCAATATCTCTTTTTTTCTCTTTTGGCCAAATTAATGGTGATGGAAATAATACATCTAATCCTAATTATAAAACATTATCTAATAATTGATATGTATAATCCTTCATAAACTCTATATCAGTTTCAAAAACAGGATTTGGTTCTGTATTAAGTAACCAAGGTTTGCTATTATTATCAATTACAATTAAAACTTTAAGTAACTAATTAAAATAATTTTTAATACTTCAAAGTTGTGATCTTTTACTGCCATCTGAATAAATATAGATTTTAAATATTCACTTAAAATATGTTTTATTTATGGATAAATCTTATTTTCATAATCAATATTAAGTTCTTTAAAATAGTTCTATATACTTTTCATAGAAATTAACTAATTTAATATTGTTTATTTTGTATTTTCAATTTCAATTATATGGGATTTATTATCAAAACCAGAAAATTGTATTTTTGATTATTAACCATAATACTATTCATATATATATCCCCTAACAATCCCATTTATTTAAGTTATTAGTAAATAATAACATAGATCTAATTTTATTTCTTAAAATTCGATTGAATTTATATATTATTATACTATAAAACTCTATTAATCTCTGTTTGGCATCTTAAATTCTTTATTAAGATGATTAAAAACACTTTCTGTATTTTGACATATCATTATTATATCATCTTCTTTAATATCACTTTTTCTTACAACCCAAAAGTCGGTTGATGTATTAAGATTCTTTAAAAATTCATAAAGCAGATTTTCACCTAAATAATCCACTACCATAGACAGTGGTATAAAATTATCAACATATTATCTTGTAAGTTGACAATATTTAATAATTTAGTTAATCAAATTCTTTTTTGTCCACAATGGATATGATCGATCTATGTGATTATGAACTTTTATAATAGGTGACAATAAATTTAATTTATTTTCAACAGCAAATTTCATATAATTTTCCACTCCTTCAGATTTTTATAAAATTTATTCAAATGGTTGAAACTCTTTTTTATCACTAATATGTCTTTATTCTTATTTATTTAAAAAAGAAATTGAAGCCTAAGAATTCCATAAGAATTCAACATCTTCACCTTTATTATTTGATTCTTACCACCACCATCTATAACTAAAACATTTTCTCAATATTTTCTCATTATTTGCATCTTTTAAAAAATATTTTTAAACCCTTATTGCAGATGGTCTAATATATATTAAATGAATGCATTAATTTTCAAAAATACATTTCTAAAAATTCTTTATTTTTCTATTTATTTAATCCTCATAATAATAATTTTAAAGCAAATGTATGGATTTTTTTTTTGATTTTAATTTATTCCAATTTTTTTCTTTAAATTCTTTCTCTTTAGTAACTACTTATTTCTAAGGATATACAAAATTCTTCTCGTTTGATATTGGTGATAAATATTTTTCTTATTATCTTTTAATAGGTTTTTCCAGATCTTTAACAGATTTTTCATTTTGAAATGCAACTATATGCTGAGAATTTTTTATATACTAAAAATTATGAATATAACCAGTTTTAAACTAAGTGGATGGGGATTAATCAATTTTCTTTTCTTTATTTCCTTAATATTTATTGTCTTCAAGAGCGTTTTCCAAAATTTTTCTTTAACTTTATAAATTCCTCATTGAATGAGGGGATTATTTATTCATTATTTAAGGAGACATTTATTGTTTTATAGACTAAATTCTACCTCTAAAATTTGTACAAAGTTCATCAAAATTTTCTTCTCTTTTTGATTTAAGACTGCTTGGAGATTCAATAAAAGAGAGATCTCGAAAACTTTGATTTTATTTGATTGATATTTAATTAAGAAAAAGTTTAGGCTTTGAGCTAGAAATTACCTTTAATTTTGGTTAAAAATAATGATTTGCAATCTAATGAGGTTTTTAGTTTTATTGAAATGTTAGATCATAATATTGTGAATTATCTAAATCCCTAACTGAATTACTTTATTGGCTTTTAGTTTCTGTTTAAAATTTTAGGATTGAGGGCATTTTTAATTTCATCTATTATTTTTATTGTTTTAATTACTATTTTATTATTTTATCAATTCTAAATAAAACTTCACTATTTTATGAAAGACATTTTATAATCCTGATTTAATGGGATTTAAATGAAATAATTATGAAGAATATATATTTGGTATTTTTTTTATCGATTTCAACATTATCCTAAAATTAAATAAAGAAAAAATTTAATTATATTATCAAACATAGAGTAATTTTAGAAACATTTTTTTTTTAATTAAATATATTCTATTTTATTATTATTATTATTTAACCCAACTTATAATGATAATCATTTATTCGTAATTTTCTTATCATATTCTTAATCAGGTGCTTTCTCATTATATGTGAACCGAACATTCAGTTGAGTTGCACCATTATTACGTTTTTAATTTAGTTAGTTTACTTTCCATTATTTTTCTATTTCTTTAGTTAACGCAGATAATCCCATCCATGGGTATTGTTATTTATAAATGTCATAATATTTTAATCTATATTGTTAATAACTCATAACCTCATTATTTTTTGAGTTTACAATTATTTAATTATTTATATTGTTTTGGTTAACTAAAGGAAGAATTTCTATTTAAATGTTATTATTATGATTTTAACTTATATTATTGAATTTTGTTGTTTCAGATATCATTTATTATTATTTATTAATTTGATCTAACTGTAAATAATATTAGGATAGCTTTTATTATTGTTATTCATTTGATAATTTTTCTTCCAAATTCTATAAAGTTTATGACATTTGTCGATTTTAAAGTTGTTATTATTATAAAAGATTTTAGTTTTATTAAATTTCTTCTATTTTACATTGTTAGGTTTATACATTTGAAAATACTGATGTCATATATGATGGTGAAGTTTGAAGCAATTATTGTTATTTTTGTTATAATTACTATTAAGGTTATGTTAAATTTAAATTTTAATATTATTATTTGGATTATTCAGATTATTCATTTTAAAGTACTAATGTCA